CGGAAGAGAAAAATAATATGCCAGAAGAAGTCAAGCTTGTGTGACAGGTGGATGACTTACCTGTCGCATTATTGCCGATACTGAGTGAGAAAGTTTTAGGTGAGTTGGGGCGGTCGATAGTGTCAGGTACGAGTGTGAATTCCGAGAACTGATAAAGTGTTCAGTACAGCAGGATAAAGGCTGGGGATAGATAATACCGGATACAGGGCATGGTATTGGAAAAAATAGAATATTGAGGGACAGTATGCAGAGGAAATGGGCAAGGGAAGAGAGAAGGTCAAACCAAAGGCAGGGTCGAGATAAAGTAACAGGAAAGCGGGGTGAATGAGGGAGAAGGGAGAGGGAGGCAAATAGGGCAAAAGGCAGTTTCAGGAGAGCTTACAGAGCTTATACCTTCACTAATACCACTAGTAACAGCCATGAAACAGCATGCCACCCTCCCTCCCTGTCTCCCGTGCAGCTTAGGTTAATACGCAGGCACGTCAGCTGAACACGATCCACAGCATAAACATCCGACTGATTTCCAGCCCCGGTTTACAGCAAACACGCTTATTAGGAGAGCGAGACGGAAAAAAAAAAAAAACGCAGCTAGTCATACAACGTCATTCAAATGGATAAGAATATTATTGTAACTGTTTGACTGTGAAGCGGTAGTCCTAGATGTTCTCTGTTTTCTAGAACATGTTGTCAAGGGTAACTGAGTCGATCACGTGGTTTACGTTTTCATATCGTTACTATGTCCCCATGTCGTGCAGGCGATACTATTCTAAATGACGATACAGTGATTATTATTTCTCCATTTTTTTCTAATATGCAGATTACATCGCTTTTGATGATGTAACGATCACGCGTTCCATACCATGCTGCCCATATACCCACGCTCCACATGCTTACTATCACGTGTTCAACATACACAAAAAAGAGAGAAAAAAAATCCATACTGACAACACTGCGCTCATATTGTCAAGAACATGTAGTCTTGTATTCATTTCTGGCGCTGACGAAGTTCCACGGTTGTGACGGACCAGAGACGACCAGGTGACCATCACACGGCTAGCGACATGAACCTGGGTCGTCGGGGTGATGGAATGTGTTCGATACAACGACCCTCAGACACTTTGTCCTCCATTCGATCGTCCATATCCTGTCACCTACCTCTCCCTACTTTGCAACTTGTAAAAAAATGTCCTTCTCCTTTTCGTTTTCCTCCCTTTTCGTTTCTCTTTTCGCTCAATTTTTTTTTTCTTATAGTCCTAGCTGTTGTCTTGTCTCTGTCTCTTTTGTTTTGGATGCTTCTGTTTCTTCTATTATTTCCTTACCCTCGTCGTAACTGTTTGGTTTGTCTTTTTTTATCTTCCCTCTCTTATTCTATGCTTCGTTTTTGGTCTATTAACCCCCCCCCCTTACCATACCATATGCCTACATTATCTACTTTTTGCTCTTCTTAGCGTGTTTCCATCGGTAGTTTCTGCTCACTGTTCGTTCCGCCACCTCAGTGTAAAAAGGTCGTAAGTGATTTCAACATCACTCGCGTCTCACTAATTTCTCCACTTATTTTCTTCTTAAATAAATTAGTTCGCTTCATATTTTCTCAGATATCCCATGGTATTTTTTTTTATTTTTTTTAGGGTAAGATTTAAAGACGGTATTTCTTAGGTGCAGATAAGAGTTTGCATTTCCGCTATTTTAAAATCTCATAACATTTATAACATTTACAAGGGAACTAAATTGGCGATCTGTGCGTACAGTACTTTCAGTTTAAAACACCCTTGAATGTATTTCTTTTTATTTATTCTTCAATTTCGCTCCCATTTTGTCTTCCAGTCCTCTTAAGTTCTGCCTTTCCCACTTCCTTCATTAATTATTCAATTGTCGATCTCCTATCAATACCGTTACAAAATCGATGAAGGTTATGTTCACGGAATAAAGAATCGATAGCAATTAAAGGTTAAACAATCTAGGTAACACTCATATAGATGCTTTTTTATATCACAGCACATCGAAGGTTTGGCCACATCCCGTAGCATCCATGAGACCAAGATGCACACGCAATACTAGTTAGTTTCTGTAGTTAGTAGTGACTATCCCTGCGTGTTTCTTAATCTTGGTGGCTCGCCGAGTGGCAGTCTTAGCGCGCTGTTAAGAAAGAGTCGCTGTAACGGGGCTTAGACCAAGACATGGCAAAGAGTGTCTTTGTTTTGGTTTTGCGGAAGATTTGGTCAGTGACGTCAGCATCACTCGGGGTACAATTGCTCTTAACGAGGAGATACACCTGGTCATGCCTTCTCGCTAATAAATAAACAATATTCGAGTGAACAAATTGTATATTTCCCTGAACTTGTGTCTCTTGGGTTCCCGCCATGGTAACCTTGTGGAACAGAGCGTTAACCGCCACTTGGGGTATGTGTGGGAAGGAGGGAGGAAAAAGAGGAGGAGGTAGAATAAGGGAAGTGAAAGAGAGAGAGAAGAAAACAAGGGGGGATGAAGAGATGGATAGCAAGAATGGAGGAGTGTAGAAATGATGGATACAGCAATGGAAGAAAAAAGACAATGGAGAAGAAAAGAAGAGGGAAGGGAAAAGAAGGGAGGAAAGTTAAGGAAGAAGAAAGACAGAGGCAGAGGAAGGAGTGAGAGAGGGAGTACAGGGAACGTTGACAGCCCACGTGGTCTGCCGGTGTTACCGCGTCGCTTCATGCATCCCAAGTTGACTACGTCTTTGACCCTCGCAAAAGCTCTGTCTTTTGTGCTTTTTCACTGCCATCTAATGCTTAGCTATTCAGACACCTTATCCCTTTTAGATATCAAACAACAGCCTTGGCCATTACTGAAAATCGTCTGTTACAAACTTAACCTGAGCGTCACTGTTGCTACACATTTTCTGTTGCCAACACGTGATTTTTTTTCCAAGTGAATAATAGCTTCTAGTTACTTATGGTATAAATATTGTTTTATCTGTTTATACTGCATTTATGAATCTCTTTTTCACATGCTGTAGTCTGAAGAGTTTTAACGCAAGGGATTTCAGTTCCGAATAAATAAAAAATATCCGTTAAAAATGCAACAGAAAACCTCAACGGACCACATCATATTTTAGTATTTATTCATAACAACTTTACCAACAGTAAGAATAATAGCAATGTTTGATGCAAAAGACTATGATGGCAATAACATGCTCACTATATGAAACATCAGAATGTCACTGATGACATCAAAACAATTAGTATATATGCAACTATTGCGAAATTACGTTAATATAGGCCACGTTGAAGACACAGCCTAGATGGACAACAGAAGACGATTTTACAGAAAAAATTAAGGAAAATAAGAATAGCACTATAGTTATGGTATAACATTTTGCAAATGGACTGGTTAGTTTTGCGAAACACACACTCCTCAACGGTAGACAATAGATCCAATATTCGTACAGATAATGACTACACACATTCCTCAAGTAAAATCGTTGGCTCTTCAGAGAAAATCAATAAGCAGGTGATGTCAAGCAAGACCCGTATCTCCAATTTCTCAAGACTGACATTTTTTTTTTTTCGTCCGATAAGATGCTTGTTGTCTCTCCGAAAGATTCGTGTTAGAATGTTCAGATTGGAAGTGATGTGCCAAGGCCTTTCGGGCAATTTTGATGGATTGTCGTCCTCTGGTGTACATGTGTGCACGCCCGCCCACACAGGCACACACGTAAACACAGATTTGTACACGGAAACAAATATACATACATACAAACACATACATGCGCATGTACAAACACATACACACACAAGTATATATATATATATATATATATATATATATATATATATATATATATATATATATAATAATACATATATTATTACATATACACATGTGTGTATACATATATACATACATATATACGTATATGTATATAATATACACATATATTATATATATATATATATATATATATATATATATATATATATATAATATATATATATATACATATATATAAATATATTCATTTATTTATTTATTCATTTATATGTATATATATACATTTATTAATACATACATACATTAATATAAGCATACATATAAACACACACACACACACACACACACACACACACACACACACACACACACACACACACACACACACACACACATAGATATTGTGTTTATTTGTATCCATTGCATATAATGCTAGCACGTAGTGTGAATGAATAATCATTTGTATTTCAATAGTGCAAATTATGCAATGACCGAGATTCAATTGTAATACTAGGAAATGTATTAGATGAATTCCCGAACGAGACGGTCTTATTACTCCACTGCAGTAAGTGGCAATTCTTGACACACGACAATCAATATCAGACGAAAACGCCGTGTTAGCTGTAATAATTCACTCTTCGTGACATTATTTTAGAGTCATGTTGCTTAATTTATCCTTTTCAGCATCTGTGTATGTAATGTCTTAGTACTCAATCCCTGTTTATCAAAAAAATACGATTCGATGTCATTGTACCCTGCAACACGTGTCCTTTACGTTGCCTCTCGGACGCACAGCCAATCAGGATCGAGATTCGCGCCTGGCGTGGGGCTTCTCGCAATGCCATTGGCCAGCGCCGCCGCCCTTCTTCCCCGAATATCTATCGTATGGAATACAAAGTCTCATATTCTACTTTTCAGTAAATAATAATATGGATGATGATTTTTTTCTGAAAATGATGACGATGGCAAGGGAATATAAGAAATTTAACAATGCAGTTAACCTCCGCCAATCACAATAGCTATGGAATTTTCCACACAACCACATGGGCGGAACCATTCCGCCATGAGAAGTAGTTCGGCTGAAAATCCATATTTGTCTATAAATCCGTTGACATGGTAAAATTGCTTCATGAATAGCATCTACGACCTCATTCAAGTACATACATCAATAAAAATTCAATTTTATCAGCCCAGGTTTTAAGAAAAATGAAAAGATGTACGGGGCGGTATTCCTCCGCGCGTGGTAGGGAGTAGGCGAGAGTTGCTGTCGCTCCGAGGAAGCTTAGATGCTCAGTGCCGCCTCACGTACTCTTGCGAGCAGACCCACACCAACTTAGCCACCATGGGCAATCCCAAAGTCTTTTTCGACATTGCCGCTGACAACCAGCCCGTTGGCAGGATCGTCATGGAGGTGAGTTAAGACTTGCCAGAGTGAACTTTGATAGGTTTTGCCAATTGGATTTTACAGCCGTGATTTCCGGGCGGCGTGACACTTGTCAAAACGCCGGCTCCTGTCAAGCGCAGCGTGGCGCCGGTTGGGGCGGGCGGAGTCTTTCCCCGAGACTCCCTTTAGGTTTCACTGTCCGCTCGTGACAGGTAGCAGGGGAGGAGTGTCATATCTTGAGCAAAGAAGATAGGTTATAAAGAACTTGAATTTCTTGCAATGTAAAGTGTTAGGAATAGATTGCATAAAGACGGGGGTTAAAGACCTCTCTCTCTCATTGTTCATTCTAGGACTTCTTTTTCCCCGACCATTTCCCTCGCAGGGCGCCTAACTCTCTCTCCCTCTCCCCCTTTCAGCTCCGCGCCGACGTGGTCCCCAAGACGGCCGAGAACTTCCGGTCGCTGTGCACGGGCGAGAAGGGCTTCGGCTACAAGGGCTCGTGCTTCCACCGCGTGATCCCCAACTTCATGTGCCAGGGCGGCGACTTCACCGCCGGCAACGGCACGGGCGGCAAGTCCATCTACGGCAACAAATTCGAGGACGAGAACTTCGCTCTGAAGCACACCGGCCCCGGCATCCTGTCCATGGCCAACGCCGGCCCCAACACCAACGGGTCGCAGTTCTTCATCTGCACCGTCAAAACCTCCTGGCTGGACAACAAGCACGTGGTCTTCGGCACCGTGGTGGAGGGCATGGACGTCGTGCGCCAGGTCGAGGGCTTCGGCACGCCCAACGGCTCGTGCAAGCGGAAAGTGGTGATCGCCAACTGCGGCCAGCTGTAAAGTCTCAGAACATTCCGCCTTAGCCGCCCACAGTTTTTTTTTCTGATGTAATTGAGGATCCAGGATATAATCTTTGCTGTATTGGCACTTCAGTGTTAAATTTCGGCTTGAAAATTTAATGCTATATAACGTAAAGGTGGTGAAACAGGATAGGTGTTCTTCCATTTTTTTTGTTTTATTAGTTTCATAAGTGGTCATGTTCTGGAAATGTTGACGCATTATGCTGATATTCAGCATTTCGTCTTCTCACTTCATCAATAAATCACCAACAACCTTTCATTTTTTCTCAACCTTTAGCGAATCTCTAAAAAATCTAAAGCTTTAAACAGGTTCATTAAAGGCAAAATCAAGTCCGTGGCCCATTGTCTAGCAAGTTCACAGGCAAATAAGACTTTGAAATGTAAAATAAAAATCGAGAGGCCTTGTATTGGATTTTGATTATGAAGTAAAACCAATAATAACTAAACTATTATTACTTAACCTAGCTAGCACATTGTTTAATTATCATTATTTGTAGAAAGGTTCTTTTGAAGTTATTTGTCGATGTTATTAAAGGGTTGAAGATGCAAACGGGTATTTAATGCCAATTAGGTGGATTCCTATGAGAAGAAAGTTTTAGGCTATGATAATAAATTTGCCTGCTTTATTATAGGTCAGTCACGTAACGTTTTGATGTCTAGTAGCCCATTCATTTTTGACTAATCTACCAAGTATAAGTATTATAAAGCCAATTACATTTTACTTATGCTTCAGATTCATTAATTTACGGTAACTACTTGACTGACATACATGAAATCGAAAAAATACCAACACGAGTCCGTACTCTGCGAGTTATTTCCAGTCCCGTGATATTGAAATGGAAATAAAATCCCGTGCACGGTAGCTTAATTAATCATAACGGGTTTTTGCGAAAGGGGGGGGGGTAAATCTTCATTCTAGTTGGATTTCATTAATTCAATAACGATATCTACTATTTGGTCATGCAGTGTGGCCCTATTCACCTGGAGCAGGGCTTATTGTCCACACAATAAAATTGATTAGAGTAATAGGGAGAATGGTTAGCCTGGGCGGGATATGCCATTCTTTCTAGAACAAAATTCACGTCCCCATGCACTACCATGCTGTTATTGAGTTAGAATAACGCGATTGCGTGACCAGTGTTTGCAATGTAAGATGGAATAATGGATATCCTGTCAGATTATATATATATGTATATATATATATATATATATATATATATATATATATATATATATATATATATATATATATATATATATATATATATATATATATATATATATATATATATATATATATATATACATATACATATATATATATAATATATATATACACATACATTATTCTGGGAGACTGGTAAACTATAAGCTCCAGACAAAAAAAAAAAAAAAAAAAAAAAAAGCAAATGCCATTCAACATAAGATAGCTGTAATTGAAGGTGTTCTTTTAACAGCAGCGCAAAAATGAAATGAGAAATGGGCCAATAATTCAGCAAACCGT